TGGGCATCATTTTCAGAGCAAGAATGGAAATGGGGTGTGGGCGTGGCCCCCTCCAGTAAACAGTGACTTCGAAGGCAACTAACTACACAGGACCGCTTGCAGCCATGCATATATAATCAGAAATTGGGGGCTTTTTTGTTTTTTGTTTTGTTTTTTAAGGTCTGTGCGATACAAACAAAGAGAGCTTTATATTACTTGCCGTCAAGGGCACTAAGCTCATCAACCTCCGACCCTATCTATGTATATATACACATGCATAGGGGACCGTCAACTTAACTTCTAGATATGCTTATGACAAAGCCACAGACCACGGAGCCAACCCGATCGAAGGCACGCTTGCTTCTAAATATAGTTATGTATAGTTGTTTCACATGGTGATTTCTTGTGATTATATATATGGGCATGAAATGAGATGATATATATGATCCAATAATGAAGGGCAAGGAGAGGTAGCTCGGCAGCTAGGACTAGGAACGTGAGTTTTGATTGTGGATTGGGGACTGCCGTTGAGTTGAGTTGAGTTGAGTTGATAACTGATAATGATAATGATATGATGCCCATTCATTCACGTACGTATCGTCCCCACACCGTCATTTTCTGGTTACATGTCTAGATATGATGCAAAAACCATGGTCATCTTTGTATTTTTATGCATAGAAAACAATTGATGATACTATACTGTAGTGACGCGGCTTAAGAATGAAAAGGGTATGTGGCACACACAAGCTATAGCAGATTCCCTATACGAGACTTGATGATATAAAAAAAAAAAAAATAATCACGATGAAGCGATAGAAAGAGATACTAATGCTAGGATAGGTTGGTCTGAATCTGATACATGCCGCGAGTCTCCATATTTGCCTTCCTTACTTCATGGAGGCTTCTGTTGCATTATGTATGTATGCGGTAGCGCTGCGGAGTAAGAAGACGTCATTCCGTATCAAACAATCAAGACGGTATTTATCAAAGAATTGTGCAAATTAAACACGCATCAATTATACTCTTGATTAAATAAGTATATTTCATTGTATTTAAACTGAGTTTCTTTTTATTTTTTTTTTGTTCGTAAACACTTTCGTATCGATGTACATAAACATCTAGAGATTTGCCTGTGAATGGTGGTTGGCCATCATGATATACGGTATTCGAACACAAGATTTCTCTTCATACCAAACCATTTTTTATTTATAGAAACACAGAAACGGGAAGGTGAGAGTGAGCGAGAGAGAGAAAGAGAGAGTTTCTGTTGTCCCATGGGTTGGGATCATGTGTGTCTACGTCAACGTTAACATACACCATTACTATTCTCCCATCAACATTATTATATTATAATACAAACGTATAATAATGTAATTGGTGATGAGTCAGTGAGTGAGTGAGTGAGTCAGTGTGGTGGTGATGGTGTCATGTAGGTGTGGGGAGCAATTCGATATTTGCCCTTACTGCTGGGTTGGGTTCTTCTTCTTCCTTAGCTGCAATCAAAATCAAAATCAAAATCAAAATGGGTAGGCTGGAGGCTGGGCTTATCTATGAAACGGCCACGTGGCGGGAAAAAACTCTACACAACACAACACAGCACAAACCCCCCCAACACCAACATACTGTCCTCCTTCTTCCCTTCCTCTCCTCTCTTTCTACCAATTATACCACTCTTCTCTTCTCTTCTCTCTGTTGGTCAACACTCTTAACAATATTTTCAACGCACCTACAGATATAAAAACATACAATATATAACACCCTTTTCAACTCTCTCTCTCTCTCTCTCTCTCTCTTTCAAACCTACTCGATCTTATCAAGAAATAAGAACCAAGATTTAATTTTTTTTATAGATGTATAGCTATTAAAGATAATAAATAAATATCAAAAGGTCTTGCACATGTTGAGCGGCTGACCAGTAAAATCATCAAATCATTTTAAATAGAAATTTGGTTTGGTTTGTTTGACAGGGTAGCGATGGACCAGTTGATTTTTTTACGGTTTCGACGTAAAATCAGATGAACCACTACAATTTGATTGGTCCACTAATTTACACCACAAAAAAATATTTTAACGTAAACTAAGTCCAACCCGAATTACCAATCTTATTTGTTAGAACTTTTTATCATAGATGATATGAATTTTAAATTGATAATGATTATTATTAAATTTAGTGTTATACAACTCTTTTATGTTATGGCGCATGAATGATTCTATTAATTATTGACCAAAGATTTTTCAAACGATTAACCACTAAGCAATAAACTACTAAAATTTCCAATTCAATATTATGAAAAACACACATGCTTACTTGGACGAGCCATTTTGTCACTGCCTAATATCCAGAACATCTAAACGTACTCAAAATTATGTCTTCTTAAACCTTGACCACTACCAATGCAATGCTTGTCCTTCATTGACTCTTATTTTTGTATATCGTGAGAATTGAAAACCCAACAAACTAGAATTTGGAGGGGGAAAAGAGAGACGTGAGCAGTGTTTGCTTTTTGGGAAGTGGAAAGCACTGCACTAATAAATCTATATACCTCATCAGGAAAAGAGGAGAGAACGCGGAGTTCTGATAATGAGTTCCTAATCTGATCAATAATAATTGATTAACTAGTGATAATCCTTCCCTCCCCTTTCTAATTCACTCTTCACTCACACTAATTACAACCGACCGGCCACCTTTTCCTCCTACAAAAATTTGGTCAGCTTTCCAACACAAAGACAAAGAGTGTGTATCTCTGACTCTCTCCCTCTTTCCCATTGGCCCTCCTTAATCTTTATCATTAAACAAACATTACTACTCCAGTCCCATTAATTAGGTGGGAAAGAGAAGAGAGGATGACCAAGGAAGGAAGGAGTGCATGTCAATGGAAAAATGCAAATTAAACCATTTTCTATTCTCTCTAACTGTCATTTTAAGACCACTTTAGTGTTCCATTATCTCTCAATTATTCATCAAATTAACTTCGATTGACATTCTGATAACATCTAATCGTTCGGATTTTTTTTCCGTACTATTTACTTATCCGTGTCTTACTTTGTTTTGTTAGTTAGTCTGATTTTTCTCGCACTAAACATGTAAAGTATAAGATACGTATAACATGTTGAACATCCGTATGAAAATATTGAAAGATTAACGAACTATCAAACCCTTAATAAAATATAAAATAATAATTAACAAAATGATGATCAAAATAATAATTAACTACATGATGATCGCAATTGAATATAGAAATTAAATGGAACCCCACATGGAACCTTTCTCCCCAAAAGGTCTGTCAAGAGCCTAAACCAATTGCATCAAGGGAAAACTCCAACATTACAGCCATAGAATAGCAATAATCCCACAATCATATATTGGCCGTGAACTGTAGACGGAAAGCAACATATAACTCCCCTGATTTTTATTCATTGGAAGAGACTCTTTCACGCGATTTTGCGTAACTTTAATTATTTTGCCTGTTTCCTTCCATGATCGATGATTTCTGATGTAACTACACATAGGAAAGGTTAGCTCCAAGGCCACCATTTTGGCTTTGTTTTGAAATGTAGAAACTCTGGGATGTCCAAACGTCTGGAAGTCATTGATTTTTCTTTCCGATGGTGAGTGTTTCTGCCAACTTAATTAGTGTAGAAGATACGTGCCCTTCAAGATGTAAAGAGGATTGAAAAAGGAATATGTAATTTTTTTCATCCCAATTCTCAAATGAGTTTAAAACTCCGGCGATTCTAAAGAATTGGGAGATATTAATTCTCGAAATTGTTTAACATGGATTCTGAAAAACTTGTTGTTTGTTAACGAGACTTTTTCACATTTAATATAAAGAAAGGAATTGATAATCTAACTATGTTTGAACAAACATTTAATGGAAACGGAATCTCATTAAATGAATATCTCTATCGTTAGGAGAGGCTATTTCATCTTCCTTAACTGTATAGAGTCTATAGACCCTAAAATCTCATGTACTAAAGACGGGGAAATGAAAAATTAATAATGCTCTTTAGATTATATGATTTCGGTGAAGTCTGATTCCAGATATCATTCTTTTAACGCTCATCAACTCTCTCTCTCTCATTTCTAAAATGCTAGTGAACAAGGTTAGAAGAGGAAGTCCAACAAGCATATGTTTAATCCGTATGTGTAGTGCACCTACTTTTTTCAAGGATTGTAAAATATCACCAAAAAATTTAGTGGTATGATATTTTTTGTTAAAACTGTGGTTTAATCGTGGTTCAACCATAACATTCATACCGCCAAAATCACCTATGAACTTGAACTTAGATAAACAATTTTTCAGTCAAACCACTGATACGATTTTGCCATAGCCTGTTTTGTCGTGGGTACAGTAAGTGGTTACAAATGTTGTTGCACAACAAGCACAGGGGTCAACGCGGTTTAATCGGCATTGAATAGTATTAGTAGTAGTAGTAAACACAGAACATAATAGAGTTGCTGTTTGTGGACATTTACTGATTGTCCTTTTCATCTCTTGTTGTGGCTGCCCATTCCATTCGTAACGGTTTAAAATCCAGCAGTAGTAGTGAAAAGCGCACTACTACTACGACGCGGGAATGAGAGAGAGAGAGAGAGAGAGAGACAGAGCCTTGAGTTCCACGTTTGGAGAGAGTCGCTCCTTCCATCCTGAACACCGAAAAAAAATTGTTTTTGGGTCACAAAGTCAAAATAATGATAAAACGCTTTTGCTCAGCAGCAGCTCTCCCTTACGAAGCAAAATAATTATTGGCACTTCAATAAAATTAGAAAATTAAAAAAACCCAAACATGAGCGCCTTACGAAGAAAACCAAAACACGTGGTCTTCCCTCAGGCGTCTGAGGTGGACCTTAACATCCCTCCCCTTATTTAAACCCTCTCCTCCCCCCTTTTCCTTTCCTCCTCAAATTAAATTCCAACTCTCTCTTCTTCACTCTCTCGGAGTCTCTCCCATCTCTCTCTCTCTCTCTCTCTCTCCAAACAAAATTCACTCCATACAGAGAGCTTCTTCCAGTCTCAGCCATGGCCGCCGCCCTCACCACCGCCAGTAAATTGCCTACAACAGCTCAATTACTCTCTTCTTCTTCTTCTTCTTCATCTTCTTTTACTCCGCAACTGGATGTGAAGTCGGTCTCCTTCTCCAGCAACCGCGCCAAAAACTGTAAATCAGAAGTTCACTGCGCCCTTCACTCCCCTTCCGTCCTCCATTTCCCAAAACAGCCCTACCAGGCGCCAATAATTACGAGGGAGGACCAAACCGTAACCGCCAAGCCCAACCCCCACCGCCCCCACCACCAAAAACAACAGTCTTCTTCTTCTCCCTGGAATTTCCTCCAGAGAGCGGCCGCCCACGCGCTCGACATGGCCGAGAGCGCGTTGCTCTCACGCGAGCGCCAGCGCCCGCTCCCCAAGACCGCCGATCCACGTGTCCAGATTGCCGGCAACTTCGCCCCGGTCCCCGAGCAGCCAGTCGTCCACGCCCTCCCCGTGACCGGGACCATCCCGCACTGCATTGACGGCGTCTACATCCGTAACGGCGCCAACCCGCACTTCGAGCCCGTCTCCGGCCACCACTTCTTCGACGGCGACGGCATGGTCCACGCCGTCAACATCGCCGGCGGCGAGGCCAGCTACGCCTGCCGCTTCACGGAAACAGAGAGGCTCAAGCAGGAGAAGAATCTCGGCCGGCCGGTCTTCCCCAAGGCGATCGGCGAGCTCCACGGCCACTCCGGCGTCGCCAGGCTGCTCCTGTTCTACGCCAGGGGACTGTTCGGCCTGCTCGATCACACCCACGGCACCGGCGTCGCCAACGCCGGCCTCGTCTACTTCAACGACCGGCTGCTCGCGATGTCGGAGGACGATATCCCGTACCAAGTCCGGATCACTCCCGCCGGCGATCTCGAGACGGTGGGGCGGTACAATTTCGACGGCCAATTGACCACCACAATGATCGCCCACCCGAAATTGGACCCCTCTTCCAAAGAGCTCTTCGCCCTGAGTTACGACGTCGTTCAGAAACCTTATCTCAAATATTTCCGATTCTCCCCGGAGGGGGAGAAATCGCCCGACGTCGACATTCCCCTGCCCGTGCCGACGATGATGCACGACTTCGCGATCACCGAGAATTTCGTCGTGATCCCCGACCAGCAGGTGGTTTTCAAGCTCCAGGAGATGATCAAAGGCGGATCCCCTGTCATCTACGACAAGGAAAAAGTCTCCCGATTCGGCATCCTGCGAAAAGACGCCACCACCGCCGACGACATTATCTGGATCGACTCGCCGGAGACTTTCTGCTTCCACCTGTGGAACGCGTGGGAGGAGCCCGAAACCGACGAGGTGGTGGTGATCGGGTCCTGCATGACCCCGCCGGACTCGATTTTCAACGAAAGCGACGAAAGCTTGACGAGCGTGCTGTCGGAGATCAGGCTGAATTTGAAAACAGGGGAGTCCACGCGCCGCCCGATAATTCGGGAGGAAACAGAGCAGGTGAATTTGGAGGCGGGGATGGTGAACCGGAACCTATTGGGCCGGAAGACCCGGTTCGCTTACCTGGCCATTGCGGAGCCCTGGCCCAAGGTGTCCGGGTTCGCGAAAGTGGACCTTTTTAACGGGGAGGTGAAAAAATTTATTTACGGCGACGGTAAGTACGGAGGGGAGCCGCTTTTCCTGCCTAGCGGCGGCGGTGAAAAGGAGGACGAGGGTTACATTCTGGCCTTCGTCCACGACGAGGAGAACTGGACGTCGGAGCTGCAGATAGTTAACGCCGTCACCATGCAGCTCGAGGCTTCCGTCCAGTTGCCGTCCAGAGTCCCCTATGGGTTTCACGGCACGTTTGTGGAATCCAAGGACTTGGCTACTCAGGCGTAGCACTGCAGCGGGCGCAGGAAGAGTAAAAAGCAGTAGATAGTTAGGTCCGGAGGAAGAAGAAGAAAAAAATTTACAGTTTGATCTGGTGGGAAATTTTTACCGGGAGATATTTACCAGAGGGATGGCAGTCCCCGGAATCTCCTGGGGGAATTAAAATATTTAATACCCTTTTCCCCTTTATTTTATTAGTGTTTGCTTTGTTCTTTGATTTCCAGAGACCAGCTTGTAGCTTTTGAACAGTAGAATCGAGCTCAGCTGGTTCCTGCTTCAACTTTCATTATATCTATATATACATAATATCAAAATTTCGTTACATATTACGTTCTTTTTGGCTTCTTGTATATTATTTTTTCCGTTAATTTGCTCGTAAATTTTACCACATGCCTTGCAAATAATGAAATTCACAGCTTTTGCTCTTACCCTTATAATGATTTTACTTAGAATATCAGGACTCTGATATATCGATATGCTAGCAGTGACTGTGTCGTAAAGTAACGTATTCGAAATTCATGGGCTATTTTTAAAAATTTTCCTTAAGGTTTAATGTTAAGTGAAAAAAGAAATGTTAAGTGAAGCAAAAATTGATCTAGTTTCTATTAATAAGACTGCTGTTTTTGGGCGGGAAATATAATCATTGGTATTAAACGCTTACAAATCATCATAATTTATGAAAAATTCTCTCCCTTTTTTTAGTTGCATTATTAAAAGTAGAGTTTCTTCTTAATGTCTAATTATGTGAATTTAATAACTTTGTTAATGATGTGCACTCCAAACCGTTACTAGAATTAATGAGTGGACTACTCCTACACTAATGGAGTGTAAAGAGTCAAGACGATTAAAGTTCAAGAAGTCAATACATTTTAATGTTTTATTACAGGACAATATACGCAATTAAGTGGATTCCTAGTAACTCGTCTAGATTCAGACCCATTTTAAATAAATTTAATAATAACTGAAGATTTTCATTTTGTTTTATCGTTTTGACTGAGGTGGGAAGTTAATCATAATTAAGTATTTGTATTAGTGGGATGATTCCGAGTTAATCAGGTGACAAACTCTGAAGAAGAGATCATTACTCTGCCCCAAAAAGATGGTTTAGAGGGGGCGGCAGTAGTTTCCGCCGGAAAGAAATATATAAATTGGGGGAGAGTTTGTGGAGTGCCGACCATATTTATGCCCGGAAATTGATAGGTTTCACTGTATCGGAAAAAGGTTTCCTCCTTTCCGGTGAAAAGACAAAGCACCAAACAATTCTTAACATAAATAAATTACCAGTTCCCATTTAAATAATTAATTACGAAAGTTATACGCTGGATTCCTAAAAATGGTTTCTGGGACTCCTATCCACTTTCGGTGATGAAAGATAGGCACTTGGGAAATTATTAGGCAAAAAGAGGTGCATCCCTTTTGTTCCCAATTACTTGCACCCCAATTTTTCCCGAGGAAAACAAAATTTGAAAGAAAATTAGGAATATAATTTAAAAATGAATGTTCTTCTTGGTCTACACTCTACCGCCGCATACTAGTTCTCGCATAAGTGTGCGTGTCAGTCTTTAGATTGGACTAACATAAAATGTATGATCGGTTTCATCTCTAAAAATATCGATACGAAGTTCTCTTAATGATTCGAGTGGCATGATAAAAGCGTCGTCGTTCGCTTGCGCGGCTAATAATACTAGTAATCAAGACAGGAAAACGTGGGAGGAGGGAACTAAGAGACAATTTAGAGAGAGAATGGAGAGGGTGTGGAGTAGCGTTAATTATATTGTGATGGTGGCGCCGCATGTGAAAATTATTAATGGCAGGCGGACGGTGGGCAAAGGAAACGCCATTTTCCTATGAAATTAGAATTGGAAATTGAGGAAGAAATGGGGAATTTGCCGGAGAAGCAATGGTGGCCATAACTTTGCACCCAAGATTTTTGTCATTGGTAATGACAGTTATAGCTTTTTGTGTTGTCAATTGAGACAAAGAAATGTATGTATACTTGTGTTTTGTGTCAGTGTGCAGTGTGTGGGCGACTAGACTACTGGGGGGGAAAAGTTCCCACTTAAACTTTATCGCAGGTTGTCCAAAAAGTCCAATCTCTTCCTTTCACAACTTTAGACCGTATATAATTGACAACCCTCCTTCTTCTTCTTCTTCTTCTTCTTCTTCTTCTTCTTGCGGTGTGATTGGAAAAATGGAAGTGCTAGTAGAAGAGTAGTTGATGCGTTAAATCATTAACAATGTTTTCACCGACTTTTACTGTGGTAAGGTAGAAACAGAGAAAATGGACAAAGCCCTCCCTTCTCCGTATGGTGATCCGTGATATTTGTCTTTGCCATGCGGGGTACAACTTGGTACCTCAATTTTGGACTTTTATCATCCATGTCTCTCAAGTAAATTTTTTTTCTTTCTATTGTAGCCTTTCATATTTATATTATTTCTAGTTTTTAACTCTTATCGGATCAATAATAAATATAGAAGAATAAAAATCTGAACAGTAGAGTACAAATTTCATTGTTTTTCATAGTGAGGCGCAATGACTTTTTATATTATAATTTTTTTTTTGTGAAGTACATAATTTATTTTGCAACTCAAAATTTGGGTTTCAATGTATACAGCCGAATAATTATAGATAAATTAATCATTAATTTCATTTAAGAAATCATTCGAGTAAATTCATAGTAAAAAGTACAATTTCTCAGCTAGCGGTTGCAACAAATGTGTCAATTAAAAATTTTAGAGGCGTGTTATAGACATGGATTGGAATTTTTGTAAAGAAGAAACACGAATTTGTCACTAATATTTCGGACGAAGGTGTGTCGCTTGACACACATGCCCCTCACCTAAGTCTAGTGGCGGAGGGAGGTAGAGAGGAGTGGGGTCCTGGGATCCCACTTAGATAAATTAAAATGGTTATATATGTGTATATCCTTGTTTAATTGGATTACGTTCGAACCAACCCCCACCTGCGAGTACTTAAGTAAGGCGCGCTCAAGTAGGTCCTCGTGCGTGGAGTATCGCCAAAAGAGGCGGTATCCGTGTAACAATGCAGCCCGCGGACAAGTAACGCAATACGATACCGTTTTACTGACATACAATCATGTCTCACTTGTAGACCTCATCATACCCTAGTTTTCTGATCCTTCCAAGCATCATGTCATATTGGGAACCCACCCACCGAAAGGTAGCATATAAATAGAGCATTTACCCCGGTGGGCGGGGATCGATTTTCGACCTCTCTCTCTATAAAAGGAAGAAACTTCTATCTCTAGAATCCTTCTCTCCCTTTTCCTAGCCTTTTTCGTAACCATAAAGGAAATAAAGGCAGAGAGCGGTCGAATCTCTCATTCACTCGCTCTCACAATCATCTTGTCTCACTCCTACCCTCAGTTAGACATAAAAGATTGGCGCTCATCGTGGGGCCGCGAGTGAAAAGAGTACAATGGTGGGACAAACCCCAAACATCCCAGACGAGTAAACACCAATCAAAGCAATGACGAACCCAATACTATTCGCGGAAGCCAGAATTAATCGTTAAGGAAATAAGCCAACAGATGGCTAAACAAAATGAAGTGATCGCAGACATGCAAAACAAAATGAATCAAGTTATCGCACTCATGATGAACAAAGAAACTCGCGTTGTAGAATCGCCAATATCGATCGAGAGGCAACCCGCCCCTGAAATCCGCGAACAACAACGAGTGTAGCCACTGGCAAGAGCAAACCTCAGCTTCCTAGAGCAACAGTTATCTCCACATTACTGCCCTCAGCCCAAAATGACCCTCCACCAACCACTGTGGGGCGAAATTATGGCAGAGCACCTCAGTGGAATCCCACCCGCCCTCCCAACATACAATGGAACAACGGACTGGGAAGACCATGTCAATACTTTTTGACTCCGAACGAGCTCCAGACCAACTCAAGCGCGGCTCTCTGCAGAACCTTCCCGTCAACGTTCGTCGGCATATGCCTCGACTGGTACAATAGGCTACCAAATGAAATAATTCATTCCTTTGATGAGTTCATGCTCATATTCACAAACAAGTTTTCTTCCCAAAAGTGGAAATCGCTCCACCTCAAGGCATCAATCGACATTAAGCAAAAAGATGAGGAAAGCCTAAGAGCGTTTTACGCCAGATGACCCAGAGTCGCCATGGCAGTGCGAGACCTCACACCCAAAACCGCCGATCACCGCCTCATGGAAGCTACCGCCAATATGGAACTTAAGCGAGGATTGGCAAAAAGACCAGTCACTCTCGACGGAGTTGGAAGTCAAGGTCAAGAAAGCTATCAAACTAGAGGAGACCCTCGGCGTAGGATCTGTATGAAGTTTCGAGCCGTCAAAACCAATCAGATAAGAGCAGACACCGAGGAAACTCCGCATACCGCTCGAACAACTCGCACAACGCCACAGCGGGGCGAGTAGACCGCTCGTTCCGCCGTAGCAAGCAACGCGTAGACGCTCACCGGACATACGTCCGCCAAACACCTTTACACATTTCAACGACACAGTGAAGAACATATTCCACCTCATACAAGAGAAATGCTACTACCTCAACTTACCCGCTCCAGTTAAAGCCGCACCACGCATGCGGGACCACAGGAAGCACTGCGATTTCCACAGGGCAACGGGTCACATGACGAATGATTGCTTCAACCTCAGAGTTGAGATCGAAGCACTCATTCGAAGAGGATACTTGGCCGAATGTATCCGAGAGGCAGAAGAGAAAAAAAAAAAACAAACCAATACCCCACCACTGCAACAATCTGAGTATGACGACAACACTGGCTCATTTGTTACGCGTAAGGAAATTGGGATCGTGACGATCGAAGGAGACAAACACAAAAAGAAGATGAAATGTTCCCACGCAATGGAGTGCGCGACAACGAATACCCAACCGAAGTGCAACATCAGTTTCGATTACGCAGAATTCCCACAATGAGCCCTATTAGAAGATCCATTCAGTATCACCACCTAATAGTTGCATGCAAAATCCATCAGCCTGCTGGTA